AACATATACATGTATCAGGATGCTGTCATTCAAACAGAACAAGGGATACTACATGGTTTAAAATCAGGAAGAGTGTCAGGGTTGTATCTGTTCACCATACTTATTCAATCTGTATGCTGAGCAAATAATACTAAAAGTTAGACTGTATGAGGAAGTGTGACATCAGTATTGAAGGAAGACTCATTAACAACCTGTGATATGTGGATGACACAACCTTGCTTGCTGAAAATGAAGAGGACTTCAATCACTTACTGATGGAAATTGAAGACAACAGTCTGCAGTATGGATTACATCTCAACATAAAGAAAATGAAAATCCTCACAACTGGAACAATAAGCAGCATCACGGTAAGTGGAGAAAAGGTTGAAGTTGTCAAAGGTTTCTTATTACTTGTTTCCACTATCAACACTAATGGAACCAGAAGCCAAGAATTCAGACAACATATTACATTGGACAAATCTGCTGTAAAAGAGCTCTTTAAAATGCTGAAGAGCAAAGATGTCTCTTTGAAGACTAAAGTGTGTCTAACCCAAGCTAAGCTGCTTTCAATTGCCTCATATGCATGTGAAAGCTGGACAATGAATAAGGAAGACCAAAGAAGAGTGGATATTTTTGAGTTGTGCTGTTGGCAAAGAATACTAAAAGTATCATGTACTGCCAGAGAACTAACAAATCTGTCCTGGAAGAAATGCAGCCAGAATGCTCCTTGGAAGGGAGAATGTCCATACTTTGTCTCACCTACTTTGGTCAGAAGGGATCATTCCTTGGAGAGAGATATCATGCTTGGTTAAGTGGAGGGTCAGTAAACAAGTGTAAGATCCTCAACAAGATGGATTAACACAGTGTCTGCATCAATGAACTCAGGTATAGTGAGTATTGTGAGGCTGGTGCAGGACCAGATAGTGTTTTTTTTCTGTTGTACAAAGGGTTTCTATCAGTTGGAGCCAACTCAAAGGTACCTAACAACAACTGCAAATACATATGCATATACATTTATATACATACATACATATACATATATATGTGTGTACGTGTGTGTATCTACACATATAAACCAAACTCACTGCCTATGAGTCGATTCAACTCATAGCAGCCTTTCCTTGGGTTTCTGTGGCAGTACCCCTACGGAAGTAGATTTCCCAATCTTCCTTCTGAGGAGTGGCTGGTGGGTTTGAACTGCCAGACTTTTAGTTAGCAGACAAATGCCCTAGGCATTCTGCCACCAGAGACCAGAAGTAGATTGCCCAACCTTCCTTCTGAGGAGTGGCTGGTGGGTTTGAACTGCCAGCCTTCTGGTTAGCAGTCAAGTGCCTTACGCACTACACTACCAGAGCTCCCTAAGGCAATGTTACACTTCGATAATGAGGCAGTGGTGGTTCAGTGGTAGAAGCCTAGCCTTCCATGCAGGAGACCTGGGTTCGATTCCTGGCCAGTGCACTCATGTGCAGACCACCACCTGTCTGTCAATGGAGGCTTGCATGTTGCTGTGATGCTGAACAGGTTTCAGTGAAGGGTCCAGACTAAGATAGACTAGGAAGAAAGACCTGGTGATCTACTTCTGAAAATCAGCCAATGAAAAAACCTATGGATGATAATGGATTTGCAACCAATCAGGAGAATGGTGTAGGTCTGGGCAGCATCTTGTTCCATTGTTCATGGAGTCACCACGAGTCACAGGCCAACTCAGTGGAAGCTAACAACAACATACTTCAACGAAAAACCAAACCAACCAAACCCACTGTGATCAAGTTGATTCTGACTCATGGTGATGCTGTAGGACAGGGTAGAACCCCAAATGGTTTCCATGGTTGTAAACCTTTCCAAAAGCAGACTGCCTTCATCTTTCTCCCACAGAGTGGCTGGTAAGTTCAAACCACTGACCTTTGGATTAACAGCTGAGTGCCTTAACCATTGTGCCACCCGGGCTTCTCAATGAAAAAAAAATTAATGAGCTAGACCTCTAATATATGTATAAAAGTCTTGTGAAGGAGCTACTTCTGCCCTCATTTCACAAGGAGGCCAATGTGACCCAGGAGACCTGAACGCCCTATAAAATGTGCAGGCTTGAGCCCAGGTCTAGAGGATGCCATTCCTCTGCCTTTTCCCCCAGGTTGCCGAGTTGAGAGGTGAGAGTTGGGGCCATGACGGCTTGGGGCTGGGTCTCACCTTGGAAAGGGCCACGAAGGGGAACTTGTCCATCTCCAGCCTGGTCTCCTCCCCGGGCTTGTGGTGGAGCTGACCCTTGAGGATGCGGGCAGCGGTCACCGTGGAGACGCCCATCCCTGTGGCGGGGAGTGGGAGGCCTGAGTCTCTATATCTCCCTGCTCTCCTATCAGTCTTCTTGGGCGCTTGTAGCTCTCTACTTTGGTGCCAAAACAGGCTTGGGTAGTGGTACCAGAGGGTGGCTTTGGAAAAAGTTGGCTCTCCCCAGACCCTCAGGGGACCTGCCTGGCAGAGCAGACAGCTTGGGCCCACAGCCTGGCCCCTCCCATCCCCTTAAACATGCTTGCCCTCTGGACCTTAGACTCTTCAGCATAGCCCCTTTCACAGTCTGGCTCCCTGGGATCCTACTCCATGCCCTATCTAGCCTGTCTCGTGGGCCCCTAGGCCTTACCATCTCCCAGGAACATGATGATGTTCTTAGCCACATTGGTGTTGAGATTCTGAAGTTCCAGGGCTTTTTTCAGAGTCTGCTGAGCCTGGCCTCGCCAATAATTAGGGTCTTTCTCTTTCTCTGTACAAGAGAATGGCAGAGTTATTTGGCAGGGTAGGGGCAGCTTCCCCTCCCTAGACTTATGGACACCCCACCATCTCCTGACTGAGGGCCGGACAGTCGGGACTTGGAGGAGGATGCAGTTGCCCATCTTGTGGTTTGCAAACATTATGCCAGTCAAATCTTCCAAACAAGCCTGTGAACCTTGGCGTCTTCTCCCCACATCACAGAATGAAGAAACTGAAGCTCAGAGATATCAAGAAACTCACCCAAGGCCACACAGCACTGGCAGAGCTGGGCTTTACTCCAAAGCTCATACACTTTCCTCCCACCCAGGAGAGAGAAAGGTTCTGCTAAGGCAGCAAATGAATTGTGCTAGCACAATTAGAAGGGTAATGTTTAACTTACTCAAGGGAACAAACTGCTTCCAACTGCAGGAGTCCCCAGGTGTATCTAGCCATCAATTATAAACCTCAATCAGCTTATTCATTAAAGCAGGTTCAGCAGCAACGCTACTTAGCAGTTGTTAAGAGCAGTACCAGAAAGTGAGACTTGCTTTTTGTTTAATGTATCAGATTTAAAGTAGTCATTTTAATATTCAGCAATTCAATTTTTGTCTGTTGCATTTTAGCCATTCAGAATCTTAGTTCTGTTAGGATTAATTAGCACAGAGGCTGTGTGTATTCTTAATCCCTCCCTCATCCATCATTCATCACTGACTATAACTCCCACTTGAACAGTGCTTTACAGTTTGAAGATAAGACAGGAACCAGAAATACCCTCCTCTCTCTCTCTCATGTGTGTGTGTGCGTGTGTGTGTGCGTGTGTGTGTGCATGTGCATGTATGTGCCCAGTGCAAAGCACCTGACAGAACTCAGTTAAAATCCCAGGTATGCCAAGTGCCATCTGCGTGACCCTGGGCAAGTCACCTCCTTGAGCCTCATTTTCCTCCCCTGTCAAATGAGGATGCCTGTACCTTCCTCTCAGCATTGTTGTGAAGACTGGATTAAATAGAGCAAACAACATGCCTGGCAGGAGTGGATCAAAATTAGTAGTTTTCCTTACTCCCCACCCCTGCCCCAATTTGCCTCCAGAGCTAGAAACCCCTTTTCCTCTTAGCAGAGGCCCAGGATCCTTGTTCATGAGAGTTGGTCCTTCCCACTATCTGCAGAGCTCTCCCCACCACACATGCTCATCAGAATACAGAAGCCTAGAGCTGGGAGTTGCTTGGGGAGCGCTCTATCAATGGCCTCCCATTGCACAGAAGGGAAGGCTGAGACTAGGAGAGGTGAGAGGGTCTTCTCCGAGGCCACTCTGTATGTTCGTGGGCTGGGGACACTATCCCCCTGCCTTGGCCCAGCTCAGCCTCTCCCTTGCCTTTCAGGACAGCTGTGAGTGAGAAGAGCTCTCCTTTCTTATACACTGTGTTTCCAGGCAATGTACTGAGAGCTCAACATGCAGTAGCACCTCCTTGAGGGTGGAGTAAAAAAGAGCTGAGCAGAAAATTTCAATTTGGAGAAGACAAAGTATTATAGTAAAATGTGCAAAAGTTAGAAAACCAAAAGAGAAGAACACGCCTGGCATTTCTCAAGCTGTAAGAACTGAAGAAAAGATTCAAGCTGTGAGTTGCAACATTGAAGGATTCTATGGGCAAAATATTGAGTGATGCTGGAAGCATCAAAAGAAGATGGAAGGAATACACAGAGTCAATGAATCAAAAAGAATTGGTCAATAGTCAACTATTTCAGGAGGTAGCATATGATCAAGAACTAATGGTATTGAAGTAAGAAATTCAAGTTGCACTGAAGTAATTGGTTAAAAACAAGGCTCCAGGAATTGACAGAATACCCACTGAGATATTTCAACAAATGGATGGATGCAAAGCTGGAAGTGCTCACTCGTTTTGCCAAGAAATTTGCATTTCAGCTAATTGAAGACAGCTACCTGAGCAACCAGTTGGATGAGATCCATATTTGTGCCCATTCCAAAGAAAAGTGATCCAACAAAATGCAGAAATTATCAAGCAATATTATTAATATCACAAACAAGTAAAATTTTGCTGAAGATAATTCAAAACAGTTGCAATAGTACATTGACAGGGAACTGCCAGAAATTCAAGCCAGATTCAGAAGAGGACATAGAAAGAGGGATATCATTGCTGATGTCAGATGGAATCTTGGCTGAAAGCAGAGAATAGCAGAAAGATGTTGAACTATGTTTTACGGACTATGCAAAGGCATTTCACTGTGTGGATCATAAAAAATTATGAATAACATTGCAAAGAATGGGAATTCCACAACACTGAATTGTGCTCATGAGGAACCTGGACATGGACCAAGAGGAATTTGTTCAAACAGAACAAGGGGATACTGCATGCATTAAAATTAGAAAGGGTATACATCAGGTTCGTATCCTTTCACCATGCTCACTCAATCTGCACGCTGAGCAAATAATCTGAAAAGCTGGGCTATATGAAAAAGAGTGTGGCATCAGGGTTAGAGGAAGACCCATTAACAACCTGTGATATGCAGATGATACAACCTTGCTTGCTGAAAGTGAAGATGACTTGAAGCACTTACTGATGAAGATTGAAGACTACAGTCTGCAGTATGGATTACACCTCAACATAAAGAAATAAAAATCCTAACAACTGGACCAATAAGCCACATTATGATAAATGGAGAAAAGATTGACATTGTCAAGGATTTCATTTTACTTGGATCCATAATCAACATCCATGGAAGGAGCAGTCAAGAAATGAAATGACATATTGCATTGGACAAATCTGCTACAAAAGACCTCTATAAAGTGTTAAAAAACACAGATGTCACTTTGAGGACTAAGGTGAGCCTGACTCAAGCCATGGTATTTTCAAAGGTGGAAAATGATTAAGAAAGACCAAAGAAGAAATGATACATTTTAATTATGAATATACATAATACTGAATATATATGTTGTTGTTGTTATGTGCCATCAAGTTGGACCCAACTCATAGCGACTCCTCCTTGGGTTTCCGAGGTTGTATCACTACAGAAGTAGATTGCCCAACCTTCCTTCTAAGGAGTGGCTGGTGGGTTTGAACCGCCAGCCTTCTGGTTAGCAATCAAGTGCCTTAGGCCCTATGCTACCAGAGCTCCCATTGAATATATATAGACTACCATGGGAATGAACCAATCTGTCCTGGAAGAAGTACAGCCAGAATGCCCCTTAGAAGTGAGGATGGCAAGACTCTGTCTCATGCAGTTTGGACATGTTGTCAGAGGGACCAGACCCTGGAGAAGGACCTCATGCTTGGTAGACAGTCAGTGAAAAGGAGGAAGACTCTGAACAAACATGGATTGACACAGCGGCTAAAACGATGGGCTCAAGCACAGCAATGATTGTGAGGATGGTGCAGGATTGGGCAGGGTTCCGTTTGGTTGAACATAGGGTCACTGTGAGTTGGAACTGACTCGACAGTACCTAGCAACAACAACCATCATCTCCTCCACATTGTAACTGAAGAAACTGAGGAAGAACTCAAAACCCACATGCGTGTGTGACCACCACGAGACCCTGCCCCCTGCCTCAGGGTGAGGAAAAGAGAGGAAGCTGTTCTCCACTTCAAGCCTTGGGTCCATTCATACTTCATGCAATTCCCACAAGAGGCTTCTTCCCTATTTCCTTCATAGCCAAGTGATAAGAGTCCCCTTACTTCATTTCCACTGCAGTTCCTTAACTGACAACCTTCACCACGGCAGCCCCCAGCTCCACCTCTTTCTTCTGAAAGTGTCTGCTAAGGTCTCCAATGTCAGACTTCACAGGCTGGGTCCCTAGCTAGGAATCTAGAGAGCCTGACCCTTCTATCCAGCTGTACACCTTTAGGCAAGTTCCTTCCCTGAAACTTCTGCCCAGGAAAATGATTTTGAGTAGTTTTTCAAAGCTCAGGGCTCCAGGATTATCTTCTGTACCTGTGTCAATTGGTTTCTCTTTTCTTTGTTGAAGAGGGTCTATGCAGCTTGTCTGCCTATTATGCCTTCTTACTGGAAGTCCGGGTTTAAGGGTCGTTTTAATGGTTAAATGAGATAAGGTCCTGGGGCAGATGCTTTTGATCAGAGATCCCATTGGCTCAGGGATGGTTCCATCTCCTTCCTGTCTTCAAGTGCATTTCAGTGGTAATCACCTATGGATATCCCTGTCCCCCAGAAGCTCGACAGATCCACCAGGACTGGCTGATGTTGGCACCTTTTACTCCTTTGTGTCTCCCCAGGAGCTCTGAGACTAGTTGGCCTGAGTCACAGCTGTGTTTGCTCCCTGCTCCATCAGGAATCTGGAGAAGGCGGAGTCTGTTCTTTACATCAGAGCATCCCAGTATCTAACCTCCCAAAGAGGGTTTAGTTGCTGTCAAGCTGACTTCAGGCCAGTGGACTAGTTTAAGCAATGGTAGCTTGTTTGCACAAATGAATACCAGGAGGCCATTGTTTTGGAGAATATTAAATGACATGGGCAAATGCTCATGATATAATGCTGTGTGCAAAAAGTGCTTGTCAGTACATACTGTCTGATTCCATTAAAATGAAGTTCAAAACAGGCAAAACAAGTCTTTGGTGACAGGAGTAAGCCTAGTCATTTCCCTTGGCTTGGAGGGGTGGGGGTATTTTTTGGTTGGGAGAGACACAGAAAAGTCTTTGGGACTGGGAATGATCTATCTTCATCTGGATGTGGTTGAAAGCCAGCATAGGGAGGGTGGACCTGCTGCTGTCAAATCAACTCTGGCTCATGACGATCCCATGTGTTACAGAGTAGAACTGCTCCATAGGGCTTTCTTGGCTGGAATCTTTACAGTGGAGCTCTAGTGGTGCTGTGGTTAAGGCATTTGGCTGTTAACCAGAAAGTCAGCCCTTGGAACCCAACATCTCCTCTACACATGCAGTCTGCTTCCATAAAGATTTATAGCCTTGGAAACCCTCATGGGGCAGTTCTACTATGTCCTAAAGAGTCACTATAAGTCAGAATTCTCACACTAGCCCCAAGGAGGAGGAGGAATTATTATCTTCATTGGGCAGATGGAGAAATGAGGCTCAGTGAAGGAAAAAGGGGACTTCCAGTCACATGATGGAAGGGTTCCCTACTCCAGCTACAGATACAGAAATGCTGAACAAAATCAACAATGAAAAATAGTACAAAGCTTGAAAGAAAGGAAGAAAGAAAAGAAAAAGGAAAATCCACAGGACACAGAAATTAAGAGGGAACTCAAAACCAGAGAGGTAAACAGAAACTGATGCTGAGGGGGCTGTCAGACCAGATACAGATCTAGCCTGGAAGCTGTATCAATGTACATATTTGCCTTGGATCCATTCAGGGGATTAGGAAAGAAAGCCATTTTGGAAAAACGTTCATTTCAAATCTGTGCCACATCTAGTGGGGGTCTGAACTTATAATGTAAGAACTTCAAACTGAGAAATTAACATAAAAATTTATTCAAAATTAGTCCAACTCCCCGGGTCCTAAAAGAATCAACTCTGTATAAACACTTCCTCATGGGTCTCCAACAGCAACAAAAAAACAAACAACTCTTGTTGAAGATGAGTTCACAAGCAAGAATCAACTATACCAACTACATAAGGAAATGTACTACCATGAGGAAATGTACTACCATAAGCAGACAAAACCAAGAGGGGACTTAGCATACCTAGACTTGGAAGAATCTATAGAATTAGTTATATTTCAGATTATTAAAGAGATGAAGAGAGAATAGAAACCCCAATGAAAGAACAGTAATACAAAAGGCAAAAGAGGGCAAGTGGCCTATCAACACAACACACACAGTATCACAGCTGGGACTTTTTGCACTGTTTTGCAGCTCTAAAACACTATGGATGGTTTTATGACCTTGAACGTAGAGACTTCCTTCATCCTATCCCACCTGCACCAGATCTTCCCAATCTGTGCTCCCCAATCCTACCCGGCACTAAGGAGTTGGAAAGACAGGCACCAATGGCCAACACTAAGAACGATGAAATCATGGTGCACTGCAAGACCTGCTTCCTCTCTGGAGCCCAGAAGTGCAGTCGATGTGGGCAGGTTGGCAGTGGTCAGATGTTAATTGATGTTCCAATCCTAGAAATTAAAAAAGAAAGAAAGAGAAGATGACATGTGAGCCACAGTTCTAGAGTTTATTTGTTCACTCACTCATTCATTCCTTAATTCATTCAACAAGTATTTGTCGCACGTTTATTACAGGCCAGGTATGGGGCTAGTTGCTGGAAATACAACTATTTGTTCCCTCCCTCAGGAAACTTAAAGACACCAACAGCGTAAAAGTACAGATGAGTTCTATGCTGCAATGTAGTTCCACGCTATCTCCCAACTGAGCTCACATTCTCAATCCATGTGAAGCCCAGCATATCTCAGAGGCCCAGTGTTTTGTATAGTGCTTCTCAGACGTGTGTATCAGAATCATCTGTACAAAGAAACCACCCTTTCTTACAGGGCCACCAATAAATTTGCTTCATTTTCTGCTAGAGTTTGTTGTTTTTTATTTGTTTTTAAATTTTCATACTATATGTTATTTAACCCAATATACCCAAAAGATTATTATTTCAACATGTAATCAATATAAAAGATCATTCAGAGGCTATTTTCTTCTTTCTTTCATACTAAGTCTTTGAAATCCATTGTGCATTTTACACTCACAGTGTATCTCAGTGTGCACCGACCACACAGCAAATGCTCGACAGCCACATGTGGCCAGTAGCTGCCTTGTTGATAGCACAACCCCAGGTCCATTCATACTGGAGCCAGTTCTACCCCTGAACTTCCTAGTCAAAGGAAATCATTAAAGCCTTTTTTTGGCCTGAGAAAGTTTGAGGTGAGTTTTTATCATTTGCAACCTAAAGAATCCAGACTAACACATATATGTCTCCAGGCTCTATCTCAAGCTCTAGAATCATAGAGTATCTCATGTATGATGAGAAATACAAAAACTGCAGGAGAGACAAGAAAAGATTAGATGGTAGGGTGGTCATTTCTGGGTGGTGACAACACAGATTCCAATTTTTTTTCTTCGTATTTTCTGCATTTCCCAAATTTCCCTCAGTGTTGAGACGTTACTGCTATAATTAAAAAAAAAAAAAAAATGGTTAAAAAAAAAAAAAAGGCTGGAAGGAAATACACCAAAATGTTAACTGTGGTTCTCTCTGGGTGGCTGGACTATGAAAGATTCTTTCCTCTTCTTTTCATTTTTCTGAATTTTCCAAATTGCTTAAAATGAGCATGTATTTATGGCTGAAGAATGTTTTTTTTTTCAATTGTGGTCATCCTGTTAGGATCACAAGAGACATCCCCATTGGCAGCTGAGAAATGCACTAAATCTGTTGTGGATGAACATTACTGGAAGATGATAAATTTTAATTGGCAAGAGTGTCACTGGCACTTAATGTTATTACTACAACCAAAACCAAGACAAAAATGATGATTTCATTTGTTTTGGAAAACGGTGGTGATGGGGCTGTCGTTCATTTTAGTAGGGCTTGCTGCAGCAACAAAAATAAGGAATCCTCTACCACCAGACGAAAGAGTCCTGGTGGTGCAAACGGTTAAGCACTCGGCTGCTAATAGAAAGGCTAGAGGTTCGAACTCTCCCAGTAGCTCTGAGAGAGAAAAACCTAGTGATCTGTGTTAGTAAAGATTTCAGCCTAGTAAACCCTATGGGGCAGCTCTGTTCTGTCATCTGGGGTTACTATGAGTCAGAAGTGACTCAATAGCACCCAACAACAATACCACCAGAAAAAGACATCTTAATTCAACCTTAAAACATTCAGTGCCAAAACTCACTGAAACTCCCATCACTAAAACACCCAGTGTTCACCAAACACTGAATAATCACCAAAATGAATGATCCTATGGATGAGAGAGTATTTCATATAGCCATCCAATTGTACCAAACAACTCCAAACTCACTGCCATCAAGTCAATTCCAACTCATAGCGACCCCCATTGGGATTTCCAAGGCCCTTTACCAAAGCAGATTGCCCCATCTTCCTTCCATGGAGTGTCTGGTGGGTTAGCAGTAAACTGCTTTAGGCACTGCGGCACCAGAGGTCCTTCCAATTGCACACCCTTGTGCTTTTGTGCACCCTTCCTCATCTACCTGGCTCCTTAAAACCCCAACTTGGGGGGAAGAGGAGAGTAAAAGGATATACCCCAATATCTATACTCAATATCAATAGCACTTAATTCTGAGTGGTGATACTTTAGATAATTTCTAAATTATTTTTATCTACTTTCCTTTTGTTTCCAAATGTTTCCATAGTAAATCCTAAAATCAGGAAAATAGATTAAATTAAAATATTAAATGGATATGCAATATATTTTTGTTGTTGTTGTTGTTGTT